GAGGCCCTTGATAAAAAAATGGTTCTTTGAGTAAGATAGTCTTGATGTAGAATCGTTTGGGGTGGTCTTTGAGATACGGAGAGACCGAAGTATTGAATCAGTTGGTAGTTGTTGTCGGGTCGGGGGTCAAGTTTACTTAGAAACATAGAATGGATTAGATTCATAGTGTCTGTGGAATGTAAAGAGTTCTCTGTAAGAAGAGGCTACCATTTGAATAGATTATGCCTACAAATATACATTCTTATAGATTTCCATTTAATACATGCACACACACCCGCACACATCAACACATACAAACACCTACATATATATATATATATATACTCGACTCTCACGTCGAATTCGACGTATGAGGGTCAAGCAGATCAGTTCCTAGGAAACCGACAGCCCGACACCAGCACATGAGATTTGATTATAGTGGTGAAGGTTTCGTGCAGGACCATCCACACTTTTTGAAGAGCCGAATAAAGAGACCTGGTGCACTACGTGCCACAAGGTCCCTAAACGACTCTCCGCAAGTTTTGAATTCAGAGTTGTCCTTCTCCTAGACCAGTTGCCATCCAAGGCTATAGAACCCAGTCTGTCCTGCTATTTAGTCATAGCATAGAGGGAGAAGAAGAGGATTCACACCTTTCCCAAGGGTATTAGCACGTAAGTAATAGATTCGACTGGAATTCGAACTCTCCGATTTCTCAATCCAAGCCGCTATCCATTACTCCACCGTGCCTCTCTCTATATATGAAAGTGGACATTGAAGTCAACAGCATGCGGTGGTAGTCTATGCACATGGACTGATGAGTGCGTTTAAGCATGAAATAGACTGTTGCTGCAGGGTGTTGACCTCAATGTTCATTTTTATATTTACATACGATCTCTCTATTCCTGATATCGAGCACTCGTAATGTAGCATACCTTAAAACTATATATATATATATATATATATATATATATATATTCACCTTTGTAGTTCACTGCTACTAACAAAGAGGAATTTCTTCTCCCGATGTTGGCCATGCTGGCCGAAACTATTCGAGGAGTCTAATTTAAATAATAAAACGAAAATATTAATATACAACCCAGTGTTTTAATGTTTTAACATTTTTACTATTCAAGATATATATATATATATATATATATATATATATATATATATATATAATGGCGAGAAAGTTTTAGCTAAGAAGAATTTATTTAAAAAATTATATTTAAATTACATTAGAAATATATTATGTATATATATATATATATATATATATATATAGATAGATAGAGAGAGAGAGAGAGAGAGAGAGAAGAGAGAGAATATAATATACATACACGTGATATTTTCAACCATGATATTGTAGGTGCTGACCAGACTCGACGTTGCTTAGCTTTGCTGAACGTACGAGAACGTGATATAGCAGTAAGCTTGAATTCCGCGAGAAATAACCTGAAAAGACTAATATGCCATAAAATAAAACAACAAATTGAACGAAAAACAAATACTACGTACTTGTTGTTTTGTTTAAAAAATAAAAAACTGGATAGAGTTATAAATTTTTGCTGATTCGATTGAATTCTTTGACAAATATAGACTTTTGGATCACTTCCTTGTAATTCAGAGTAAAACACACCGATCGACACGATTGAAATCGGAAATCGACCTCATAATAAGCTAAAGGTTCTCAGTTTTCGAGCTAAGATATTTCAATGCATATTTTCATATAGAATTATTGGCTTTTAAGCAGATTCCCACTGACACTTTATCCAACCTCATCTCCGCCCATTTTTGTAAAATCCGAAATGATTTCCTGCACAGATGAAAACATTTAAAAACCATACTGTAAGCGGATCGTTTCAGTCTGATTCTAAGATTTTGGCTCGATACTTACTAAATAGATTGGAGCCTTAAACCTAACTATCCTGCTAATTTCAGTTGCAACTGCTGTTGCTGTCTATCATGTTTGACTGCTCCTGTTACCCATCGTTTTATTTTATTGCTGCTGCTGATGCTACTGTTGTAGCCTTGCTGTCATTTGTCTTTCTTTCTTTATTAGCAGCTCCCATATTGCATTTATTTCTATGTTAGGTCGACTAAGGAGGTCCTCCTAGTCTAGCATATACACTGATTCTTTCAGACGTCTAAACTCTCTAACCAATTAACAAAAACCACATCATTTGAACACTTCCAGCAGCAACAACAATAAAAATGGCAGGCACAAGGAAAATACTAATAAAATCAAGATGTTGACTTTCCAAACCAACTTAAATATAAGGTTTGAAAGAAAATTCGTGTTAGTACTAGAGGCGATAACAGCGTTAGTACCAGAGGCGATAAAATTGTAATTTTTTATCCGCCTTAAGATTTCCGTCTCACATTTTCCACGGCCTCTTACTCAACTATCCTAATAGTTGAATATCTGTGTTTGCTTGATTTTAACGTCCCCAAATAGGTTTTATTGCCGCCGCCTTCGACTGCTTTCTTGTAGATGGTACGTTGATAAAACTGCATAGATTCTTATGCTGTACATGGGCAGCAGTGGTAGATAAATTCACCCGGTTCATGCTTGTTTCGCGTCTACTGAACAGGAGTATAGCTGAATCCCGGCTCCTTTCCCACAAGGCGTTAATGATTTTCACTTAAGTTTAGGTGATCTAAGTCAAGGTTTCTCAACGGGGGTCATATGAGATATTTTCAGGGGCCACAAACCCAACTTTGAAAAATGAGGGGCCCGAGGGGGTACAGAAAATTTAGGGTCTACAAAAAATATATGTATGGACTATTTTGTAATTAATAATTATTATTTAAAATAAAATATTGAATTTATTATTGAATAATAAATTAATCTAAGCAATTTTGTAAACATAAATATTCATTTATTAAAAGTTTTTCATATGATCAATGCAGAATGTTCGGTTTTTTAGTTTTCAATTTCTTAAAATTTAAAACTCATAATTTAAAGTTTAAATTAGGGTATGTTTTCACCAACTTGTCTTTTAATTTTGAAAAACTAAATGTCCTGAAAAAATAGTTCCATGTAAATGGCTCCATACTGTTTTCCTACAAGGGGGCAATTAACGCATTTAACGGGAAACTAAAGCTGTTCTGGTTGAACCTTGGGAGATGGGGGTTTGCAGAGTGTCCTTCCTTAGCAAATAGATCCACCGAGCTGCTTGATGATGACCTAGCTATGTATGTTGATCTTTTGATTCTGTTGCATAATGATATGAAAACTCGCTTCTCTGATCGACTCCGAATGACAGTGCTGCACCGGTTTATGGATCCATTCACTGCTGATGCAAGAACTCAATTTGGAACCATAAAGAACTCGCATTCGATTGAAGGGGGGCTACGACCAGAATAAGGTTGAAAAACATTGATCTAACTATCTGGTAGCTACGACTTTTAATTCTGAGTACACCGGTTTAGCATTTATCAAGGTGCTAACCCGATTAATTTATTTTTGACGGTTTATCAACCCTTGTTAGCACATTAAGCTGATATAAACTCAAATCTGGTCGAATGTCGCTTGGGGTTTGGTGTCTCTATAAGCAGACTGAGGCCAAGTTATCCTGTAGTGGTTACCTTTAGACCATCTTGCATTGACTTAGGTGATAACAACAATTATTTTGATCTCTTTCCTAATGTAGTTTTTTTTTCCTCTTTATTTTTCTTGTGGATTTCATTTTGTCTTGTTTTTACCGCTTTTATTTTTAACCAAAATAACGAACGATTTTCATTTTGTTTGACCTGGTGGGCTTGGCCTTCTCCAAGTTCTCTCTCACCTTCCTTCCTGAGCCTGAGGGATGTTCAAGGCCACCTCCTCGACTCTGGCAATGATGTCCAAGTATGGCACTCACCTGATGGTTGTGGCGAAGTTGAGAGCCTTATTAAATACTGACTCCACTGAGGCACTCAGCTGATATTGGCTAATGTTGATTACAGCTTTCACTGGTGGGTGATGGACCTTGTGCGTCACCTTCTGATCTTTCAATCTGTTTTATTTTTGTACTTGGCGAGCCTTGACTACATCGAATGCATGTCTGAAGAATTTATCCAGGTTATTTTGAATCCTTCTCCAGTCTTCGTCATTGGTAATTTTGTTGAAGAAAACCGCCCCTGTGTTACATCCAGCCTTGTGGGGAGTTATTGGGTAAATGTCATTTTTAACACACATTGAATCTGCTTTTCATTTGAAAAAGTTTTCCCTATCAAACCAACAAAAGGTAACAATCGGTTGGTAAACTACTGCTAGTCGTGGACTACTTAGACAGTATATTACCTCCATTTACAACAGTGTCCAACATATTTATGAGGATTGGGATATACCCATTAGTGTTCATAGGTACGGTATATAGCAGACATGTTGCAGCTGTTGGGCGTATAAATGTGCATTTAACGTTTCATTGCGTTGTAATAAATCTAAATTAACCCTACACTGACGATCCCAGCACAGAGCTCAACGTCACCTTTCTTCCATAGAACTTCGATTCTGGGACAATTGTGTCAATTTGCTGGCTTTTGCGTTGATCATCGTTGTACGTAAGTCATTTTTCATTACCTATTATGATTTATTTAAAGATGATACATTTGTTAATACAACTGTTTCCCAAACAATGGAAATTATTTATGACTCAACATCATAGATGCCATAACTTTCGTTCGCTTGCGTCTCTCCTTTCTTCTCTTTGATCACGCTTTCTTCTCAGTGTTTGCTGTACTCTCAAGCCCTCGTTCTTCCACCACTTTCCCACTTTACATATTCTTCTTTTCTTCTTCTATTTCTCTCCCTCCCTCTCTTTCTCTCTCATCCTCTCTCTCTCTCTCCCCCCTCTCTCTCTCTCTCTCTCTGTCATTCACTTTTTATTTTTATTTTACTATGGCCTTCTATTTCTCTCTGTACTTCTTTTACTTTCTGTCTCTTTTCCTTTCTGTTCTCCTCATCTATCTTCTGCATGCCAGGAAGATTGTGTTGCGCCATTCTTCTAATTGGAAAGGGTATTCTTTCCTTGAAAATCTAGATTAGAAATTTTGGCTTCTTTTTCCCCGTCTTGGACATCGAATGGTAGGAAAATCCCGACCTCATGGACAACGAAGAGGCCGATTTTAGTAGAAAGACATTTCGATTGATTAAATAGCCAGCTAGATGTATAGATATAAACATACCGAGATAGATAGATAGATAGATAGATAGATAGATAGATAGATAAGGTTCATGCCTAGAAGTTCTCTCTAGTCGGCCATAGATAGATAGATAGATAATGAAAACAAGATAGGTGTGAACCCACTGAGATAGAAAATGTTGATACCTAGAATTGTTTTTTTTTCTAGCAGGCAATAGATAGATAGATAGATAGATAGATAGATAGATAGATAGATAGATAGATAGATAGGATTGGTTTACCAACCGCCACTTTACAATGTAGTTTGTTCCTTCTTTATTCCATTAAGACTAGATTTATGAATCTACTCACATTTTCTGAGTGAAGAAGTCAAGTACGTACGCAAACGAGGTGACCGACCCCACAATAAGCTGACACATATGCTGTGGGGGCAGGAGAGTGTGACAAGACTTGCACGGACGCAGACAGATGATAAAAACAGACTGAAAAAATACGCAATCTGTAGCGAAAAATGACGTAGGAGACCAAAGGAAGTGATCCTGCTGGCCTGTCACCGCCAAAGATGTCCTTCTGGTATCCATACGCCTTTCTTCACACTGTTCTATCGCCCCACACAATACAATCCAAAAGTATGTTTAGTATCGCAAAGGAATATATATATATATATATATATATATATAGGCTGCCTAATATAATATGTTTATATATAAATATATATATATATTACAGTATCTGTCTATATTTCTGAGATGAGGTATTATGTACACTATTTACATTATTCGGGCTATTCCGACAGTTCGAAAAGTCTCCTTCATATGTCTGGAACTCCGCCCACTTCGTCAAAGATGCTCCCATCCTATCCAACCAGATAGAGCTTGGACGTGGTGAGTCTGTACACCAAGGTGCCCACAGAGGAGACACTCTCAGTAGACAGAGACAAATTGGCTTCTGACTAGAAGTACGGACCAGTATTCCAATAGATAATCTGATAGAGATGTTAACTTTCTGTACACAAACGACAGACTTCGAAATGGGATCACACATATATCGACAGGATAAGGGCTTAGCAATGGGCTCGCAATTATCACCAACAATGGCGAATATATACATGGAATACTTTAAGGAAATGACATTAGGATCTATATCTCTAAAGCCAACTATATGGTTATGGTACGTAGACGACACCTTCATACTCTGGTCACACCAGGAAGATGTTCAGGTTCTACTGGACCATGTGAACTCAATAAGACCTTCGATACAGTTCACGAGGGAGAAAGAAAGTAACAACACACTCCCATTCCTGGATGTTATTTATCTCGAACAGAGCATGGGTTCAAGACATCCGTATACTGTAAACCGCCATTCACTGGACAGTACCTCAATTTCAACTCCCACCATCCATACAGCGTAAAGAAAGTGATCGTCCGCTGCTTACAACACCGAGCAAAAGTCATAAGTGGTGACCCAGAGACATTAGATAAAGAACTGGTGAGTATAAGTAGTACCCTACAACATAACAACTACCCTGGGTACATGATAGCAGCCCAAAAAAAACTGGGACAGGCGGGTACAAGAGGAGGACAACAATACTCAGAAAACAGTCTACCTGCCTTATGTGAAGGGGTTATCAGAGAAAATACAAAGGATCTGCGGTCCATATAACATCAGGACAACCTTCAAAAGCTGTACGAAACTTCGCAGGTATCTCTCCCGAGTAAGACCCCCCCCATAGAGAAGAACAGGACTAAAGACTGTGTGTACGCTATCCCGTGCAGCTGTGGAAAGGAATATAAAGAAGAGAAAGGCCGCCCTCCTTAAGGTAAGACTTCAAGAACACCAGAAAGCTGTAACACGAGGGGAAGTGGAAAAATCAGGCGCGGAGACCATATATGTAGAGAAAAAGGAGATTACTGCCCTCTGTGGCATGAGGTTGCGATCATAGACAAATAACATCATTGGAAAATTCGTAAACTTAAGCAATCAGCACATATGCTAGGCCACAAGAATTTCCTGAGCCGACTAAGCATAGAAATGAATACAATATGGGAACCAGTAATAAGGAGTAGCAGGGAAAAGCAATAATAACAACAAAAATTGCAATATGAGCTCTGGTAAAAACATGAGTGATAACAGCAAAAATAGTAAACGGTAAAAATAGTTGCTGAGACATTAGGTTTATAATACCCAGAAATTCATACCCAGATGTCCTCAAGGACACATGGCACAGTAGATAAAGGCGTTAGTTAGATCCAGTGACAGGACCCAAAGACTGAGTTCAATACCCGGTTAAGGTAGTGGAGAACTTTCCGAAGGGAATTAACATCGTACGTGGAACTAGAACAGTCTACCCCAGTGAGCAAAATAAAGAAACATTCCAACCACCTGAAGAAGGCCGGAGCGTACAACGGCCGAAACGTTGTGATAAATATGGCGACAAAGATGAGGACAATAGTCCGAATAATGTAAATAATGTACATAATACCTCATCTCATAAATATAGACAGACCCCAGTGATCTTGCTGTTGGATGTAGTTTATCATCTTATCCAGGACGCGAATGTAGTTTATCGTCTTACCCAGGACGCGAATGTAGGTTATCGTCTTACCCAGGACGCGGACATAGTTTATCGTCTTACCCAGGACGCGGACGTAGTTTAATGTCTTACCCAGAACACGCATCATTAGGACGCAAATAATGTAAATAGTGTATCTTTCGCTATTCCTATGTGTCTTCGGATTTATGTGTTTACAATTTCAATCGTCTGTTACTTTTCCTTCTATGTGCCGTGCCCCTTTAGAACGTTGACGATAATGGCACACCACAACTTCCTGTCAGTTGTTTCTCTTAAAAAAATGTTTTTTTCTTTATCTCTCCTAAACCTTGTTCTGATATCCGTTTACTGAAGCCTTGTAGGTTGGTTATGTATTTTCTTTTGCCCCTCTTTGCCTTCAATCTGCCAAGTGAGTGTCGAACCACTTTCCAGAGAAGAAAACAGAGAGAGAGAGAGAGAGAGATTGAGAGAGAGAATACAAGGGAGAGAGAAAGAGGAAAAGAAAGTATTAAAAAGATAGGAGAAAAACTAAGAGAATTGAAAGGATAAAGGGAAAGAGAGATGAGAAAGAGAGGACCGAGATAGAAAAAAAGAGAGAGGTGGCCGAAGGGATGGGGGAGAGAAGACAAAAACAGGTTAAAGATAGAAGAAAGAGTGGGAGAGGGACGGAGAGAAAAAGACAGAAAATACCACGAGAATGCAAGAAAGATATCGGAAGAAGAAATAAAGCGACTGAAGAAAAAGAGAGAGAGAAGTGGGTGGAGAGGAAAATAAAGAAGAGATAAAAGAAAGGGTGGAATGGATGAGAGAGAGAGATAGAGAGAGAGAGAGAGAGAGAAAGAAAGGCAAAAGGGACTAATAAAAGCCAAGGGAAGCGAGAGATAAAATTATTAAAAAGACTGAAGGAAATAAAGCGAGTGTAGAAGGAAAAATAGAGAAAAAACAAAGGGAAAAGAAAGAAAAGGAGAGAGTAAAAAATACAGAACGGACTCCAAGAACCCAACGGAAGGGAAAAATAAAAAGAAATAAAGAGGATGAGGTAAACAGAGAGAGTGGGGGAGAAAAGGAAGGGAAAAGAGAGAATGGAAAAGTAGATTTTCGATTCCTGTTGCGAGGTTCAATTTCCTTTAGTAGAACTGCACTATCAAGGCAAGTTGATATTATTTTAATTGTTTAATAATAAAAAAAGAAGCAAACACAATAAGCACGTTTGAACCCACTAAAAGTAAAGTTTATAGAAATAAGAATTAATGACAGATGAAAAAAATATTTAAAAATTACTGAGTTTACATTTCGAATGGGAAAATAAATTCATAATGGTTTCCGTGTCGAAATTTTTTAACGGCCACTTCGGCTTTAAGAAGAGTTCCTTGGTGGAAAAAGAGGATAAATTTTCAATTCCTGTCGGAAGACACATTTTCGTTTAATAGTACTTCTCGATCTAAGCCGGTTGATATTATTTTCATTGTTTAATAAAAAATAAAATAAATAAAAAAAAAGGATAAACATTTGAACCCACTAAAAGTAATAGCAATAAGAAATAATGTCCAAAGGAATCCATTTAAAAAAAATACTGTTTATCTTTTTGGTACGAAAATGAAATTATGATGGTTTCCATGTCCAATTCGGTAACGGCACGCTTCGGCCGTAGGAATGGTTCCCCTGATGGAAAATTGAGAGGCACATTTACCTTTAGTACGACTTCTCGATCTATGCCGGTTGATATTATATTCATTGTTTAATTTAAAAAAAAAAAAAAAAAGCAAATACAAGAGTACAAATATTTAGACCTACTACGATTAACATTTATAGAAATCAGATATAATTTTGGACAAAAACAAATCCGTCTATATATCTGAAATGAGGTATTTACGTTGTTCGAACTGTTGTCTTCCTCTTTATTGCCATATTCACGATGTTTCGGCAGCTTTATGCTGCGGCCTTCTTCAAGTGATATTTGTTGAAATTTCGAACCGACCACTTTATGTAATCCACGGAGTAGATTGTGGCACGTGGAATCAGAACGATCCACCACCGTGGACTAAATAAAAGGTTCGGTTCAAAAATCAAATAAATATCACCTGTAGAAAGAATGTTGCGGGAATAGATTGACACAAATGTGTGACATCTCCCATTTTTAAAAATCATTTCTTCAATTGGAGATCCCATGCAACACTTAACACAAGGTATGGAGAACTGGGACCAATCTCTGATGGAACCTCTGTGGCGTGATGAGACGCCCACACTCTACACACTTTCCTTCCAGTCACTGCTATAAACTACGCAAGTGATCGAGAACGTTATGACTTAGTGTGTATGCATGACAGAGTGCAAGATCAATCAGTGCCAAGCGGCTTCCCTTTGTATACTTTAGCTCTGGTACTATATCATCAGTACGGAAACTTTTTGAACAAATCCTGTATATATATATATATATATATATATATATATATATATATATATATATATATATATATATTAATGCGTATTGATATTATCCTCCAACGTACTGTTTTATTAAAACTATATATGAGATATATTATAATTATATTTGTATATATACAAATATATATGAGTTGATAAAAATGTATAGAAATTCGCATTTAATCTCCTTCGAAGTAATCCTTTCTGAGCCCGCGTACTTTATCCAGTGCTGTTTCCATTGATAGAAGTATTCTTGGAACTGCTTTTTGGATAGCAAACAGTTGTCTCTTCACATAATCTTGTATATTCTTGAAATCTTGTCCCTTTCAATGAGAATTGATTCATGAAGAGCAAAATGTCGCAAGGGGCGGAATCTGGTGAATACGGTAGTTGTCGAATGTGGGGAATATGGTGTTTTGTCAACAAAAAAAAACTACTGCACAAGCCATAGTCTTTGATGGAAACTCTGTGGTGTGATGAGACGACTACAAACTACACACTTTCCTTCCAAGCACTGCTATAAACAAAACAAAAGCAAAAACGACTATAGTTTGCCGGCCAATGCCACCGACAGGGAAATCATCTCATTCTTATTTCTATGACATCCTTCTTGAAGTGTCTTCTAACGTAAACTGATTTTCCCAGAAACCATAGCTTGAGATTCAGGGTTGGACTATGGGGATCTGGGGACAGCAATGCAGAACTGAACAGTGGGGAAAGGGATTGTTAATGCAGTTCCGACCAACCATAGGGATGTCAAAGGATGATGATGAAAATCATTTCACCCCCAAGCAAAGCGATAGCACCATTAGGCTTGGGTTTCTTTTGTTTTACATCATATCAACTTCAATGAGTTATTTAAGGCCGACAGGATTTTTATTATGGTAATATTTCTTTCCAAATATGTAAAGCTGCTAATAATGTATTGCTGGTAATAATTTTTCTTCAAAATTCATTTTACACTTTCATTTACACTTTCATTTTACACTTTCATTTACACTTTCATTTACACTTTCATTTTACACTTTCATAGTGCTTTGACTCCAGTTTGGCAGTTAAGTATTTGCCCATAGTTGAGACGCTAACAGGTGCTACCACCCTGGGCCAGGGTGAACCTGGGAACATCAACAACTAAGAAGTGATTCGAAGCTACTCAAAACCTTCTAATCAGTGGTCTTGCTTACATTATTTACATTTTTCGGACTAGTGTCCTCATCTTTGTCGCCATATTTATCACAACGTTTCGGCCGTTTTACGCTCCGGCCTTCTTCAGGTGATTGGAATTTCGAACTGAACCCTTTATTTCGCTCACTGGGGTAGACTGTCCTAGTTCCACGTGCCATGTTTGATGGACAGTGGATAAAGGCGTTGGTTAAATTCAGTGACAGGACCCAAAGAGTGTGAGTTCAATACCCGGTTAAGGCAGGAGAGAACTTTCAGAGGGAAATTAGCAGGAGATAACTGATAACTGATATCCATCGAACATGGCACGTAGAACTAGAACAGTCTACCCCAGTGAGCGAAATAAAGGGTTCAGTTCGAAATTCCAACCACCTGAAGAAGGCCGTAGCGTACAACGGCCGAAACGTTGTGATAAATATGGCGACAAAGATGAGGACAATAGTCCGAATAATGTAAATAATGTACATAATACCTCATCTCATAAATATAGACAGACCCCAGTGATCTTGCTGTTGGATGTAGTTTATCATCTTATCCAGGACGCGAATGTAGTTTATCGTCTTACCCAGGACGCGAATGTAGGTTATCGTCTTACCCAGGACGCGGACGTAGTTTATCGTCTTACCCAGAACACGCATCATTAGGACGCAAATCCATTTAAAAAATACTATATCATATTACCTCAAACTATATTAACTTAATACATATTATCGTATCATCTATGAATTGTTATTTTTTTTTTATTATCTTAAAGCCTATCAGCTTACTCGAAGTCTATAGCACTTGGGAGAGAAGAAATAGGACAATGTTGTTTCGGATGAGTTAAATTGCGAATGAAAATATCTAAACGATCCACTAGAAATACTCTCAAGTGTTTAAGGGTCCTTGTAAATAAGTTAGCAGTTTTAAGCATTTACCTTATGAGAATTTGAATTGCCAAGAGGTAGACATGTCTGTAGAAGCAGAAGTGTGTTTTTCACCATTTCACCATTTTTCTTTTTTTGTACCTAGCGTCATTCCCATGTACTTTACTCGAAAATGGTGTAGTGCCTGTCTCATGTTACATTTCAATGTCATCAATGCACAGCATTTCTGGCATACTCGTTGCTCAGTTAAATATATGCCTGTATCTTCGCTAACTCCCCAGCACCTTCGCACTCTCAGGTTACGATTTAGAAACCTCGTTTCATTAAGACCGCTCGAAGATTCGTCTGAACAGCTGCCAATACCAAACTCG